CGCCTCTTCGTTTTTTCTAGTATTTAGCAAAAAAAAAAATTTGATTCTGGTCCTGAATCAACTGAAAAATGCTCATCGTTTTGCCCCCAACTAGTTGAGGAAAGTCCTTTTCTTCCTAGTTGTTACAGTTTTCCCATCTATCATTGCAGTGGTTTGATTAAAAGTTCAAAATTCAATGTTAATTTTAACCCGGCCTTTTATGTTGACTTCATGGCTCATTTCGTAGCATTTAAGCCTATAATAGGATGCCTAGACCTGTTTTTATTTTTATTTTTTTCACCCTGTCGCTTCATATTTTTTCTGAAAAAATCCGAGAACCAACAAATTAAATTGGTGTGGCCTAACTGAAACCCCTAACATGCACTGGGCAGGAGGCTTGGCGAGCAGGCACACTCTTAGCCCTGTAGAGATAACAGGGAGCCACGACAGTGTCTGTTCCCTAGGCTAGCCTGGTGGAGGCTACATTTGGCTAGCACACAGGGGGAAGCTGTCATACCAAATTAGGTCATGTCCATAATGTACTGCTGCCATCACCCTGACAATTAACCTCCATCTGACCCCATTATCTGACCTATATTTCACTTCTTGATACCCTCAGGTCTATTACAGAGTGGCTCCATTAAGCCTGTCTGACCATAAACTTGATTGATACGTCCACAAGTGGCAGGGTTGTATCAGGAAGTGTTAGCACTTCAGTCATGTGTATCCGGCTTTGTACCAGTCAAAGTCCTTAAACTTGTTCTGATGTTTTCATTACAGCGATTACCACTGGAAACCTTAAAATCCTGTTATTTTGTATCAATTGTATATCAAGTCATAGCCTGTAATTGATGTAAGACTTGCTTGTCTTGATAGACTGAGGCCATGTTCTAGCCAGCCGGAAAATTATTTCCATCATCTCAATTTTGTTGTAGTGCACCCCCCCCACACACACACACACGAAAGTTTTAAATCTTGACCCTCTAAAATGCTATTTCCTGCATTTTGAGGTACAAACTTTGCTGGTACATGTAGATTAATCATTAAGCTTAGTTTAGTGACATCTTTTTCCATATCTTAACATGCTGATTATTGACAGACTGGGCACATTTTTGTCCATCACAAGCAGCAAAACACTGGGTACAACACTGGACAGAAGAGTGTTTTGACAGTAGGATCCTTACAGTGACAAGTCCCTAGCCCTGTCCTCTCAGGGAGCAGTTAGTGGCTGGTTATTTGTTTTGACAGTGGGCTGGTGTGTGAGACAGGCTGTTATCTTTTCTGTGCAGCCAAACATGCCCAGTCCTGCTGACTGACAGCCAGATTTGTCTGACACTGACAGTAAGGGCATGACTAGTGTAGCCTGACTACCAGTCAGGCTTCTAGGGGGGGTCTGCATGCCCTTTTCTGTAGAGCGTAATCAGCCGTTTTAATTCTACGTAGAGAGTAGACAACCCACTCTAATTCAACATAGAGTGTAATTGGCGCATTTTGCATAGTGCGTAATTCGCTGTTATGTGTGGGAGGCATTCTTAATTCAGCGCGATACGCAGTTGGCGCTCAAAATTTAGCATAGAGTGTTGTTGGGAACCCCCCATGCAGGCCCTCCTCTAGCATCCCATCTACTGGTTGGGGATAGGGAGAGATTGTGTAACACAGGCTAATGACTAGTGCTTGCAGGCAAGAACCTAGCCTGGTAGCCAGACTGTCTAGGCTGGCCCGTATCTCTGTGGTGCTCATCAGAGCACTGCCCGTCCACACCTGGGGTTTTTACTGGTCACTTTCAATTATGTTTCAGTTAGCTGGCTGGAAAGATCGACTGCCAGAGGAAAGGCCTGTGACAATAACCTGGAGCCGAAACACTCCAAAGCCAGCCAGTAAAGCAGCAAATACACTCTACGCAAAATGCGCCAATTACACATTGAATTAGAGCGGTCCGTCTATGCTCTACATAGAATTAAAACAGCCGATTACACTATAGGGAAAAGGGTATGAGGGCCCCGGGAAAGAATGGTCACCAGGCTAGTAAAAATCCTGCTAGCCTTGATGCCAGACTGTTGAGTCCAGGGTCTCACAGACTAGCTCCTTGGCTGCCACTCCAAGAAGTCTGCGAAGGAAGCAAGCTTCCGCAGATCTAAGCTATAGAGAGAACAAAAACTACTCAGCAGCTATAATAAATCTTTGTTGCTGGAGTTGTGACTTACCTCGAGCTCACAAGTTAGAACTCCTACTGGAAAGCCATCAGAGTTGATCAACCAATGGTAATAAGCAGCTGCCAGTGATCGGAAGTTAGGAACTGAGGCAGACTAACATGGCGCCAGTCATGGCAACAGACTTGTTATGAATGTTTGAACCTACGTTGCCTCAGATTCTTTAGTGTCCGACATGATTACACACAACCAAAAGCAATACATTTCAAAACCACGTAAAATGGCACAAGGGCCCTTTTTTACATGTTTTACCAAATAATGCCAAAAGTAGCTGGATAATATTACCTACTGGTATGTATTAAAAATTATAAATGCTTTACAATAGCACAAGAAATATACATGTACCTTCTACACTTGACAGAAACTAGGTACAAGACATCAGTCAGTCAGTAACCACCCTTTGTTTTTAACTAGTATATTCAATTAAATACAAACCATGTCTTGAAAGTTCATCTGTGTTGGTAACGTTAGAACTTAAAAGTCATTATGAGGCAAGTTTGAACTGTGATTTCTAACACAAGAAATTGGACTTACCAGTACCCAAAATTTCCACCGTACAACTCCAGTCTTTGTCAAGGAATGAACAACCCACATGTCACAGAAGCAGTGGATTGCTTGTTCCTTGACAAAGACTGGAGTTACACAGTCACAGTGGAAAATTTGTGTAAGTCCAATTTCATGTGTTGGAAATTACAGTCTAAACTTTCTTCACATAGAAACACAAGACTTCCTGCCTCACATGCCCACCTTGTAGTTTTTTTAACCTAATGACCCCCAAGCAAACTTCTGACCAATTAAAAGTGTTGTCGGTGCAAACGACTTGTGAGGTTTGCAGGCCGAAGTGTTAACCAAAGACCCTGCTTATCCTCTGTGGGTTTCCTGGCAAACACTGCACCTGTTTAGGGTTTTAAATAGAACATAGAAGTTATTTCTACTTTCTACAGGCTGATTTTTGCTTCAGAATACTTTTTTTCAGTATTCTGAGCCATGTAACATTGAAAATTACATGTATCTGCACCAGAAAAATCTTACCTACACCACTCAGACCTTTTGAAAACTATTCAGAAACCTTTGCCATTATTTCTTTTATACTTCATAGGCAGTAACAGTCAATACAGCAAATAAAAATCCACATACACCTACATAAACCCAGTACATGAGTGCAGGTTAGATGCAGGTAGACATCAGAAACACCAGCACAGCTTCTGTATGCAGGTGGTATTTTGAGCCCTGAGTATAAATAAATGCTAAAAAAAACCCGAGGGACACTGTGTTTGATAACAATTTTCCAATTATTCCATGTCTGCTAGGTATGTGGTTGATAATGATTTGAATTATTTGATGTCACTAAACTTACTTCATGCCCTATGTGATTCTTGTATTTCTTCCCTAGCCCCACCATGCAGGAAAGTCACCAGGACAGATTCACTATGAGAACCTCTGCATGAAGGCAGTCAACCAGTCTATAGGTGAGTACATGTATGTCGATGAAGGTAGAAGGTGTTCATTCGTATCCACCTGTCTATAAGTAAGTTCATTTGTTTGTGTGTAGGTATATTTGTAGATTAGACCTTATGAAAGTCATTGTATTTTTTTGTGTCAACAAAGATTTCCATGTTACAGCATAAATTTTCTGAACAGTAAGACATCATTTTAAATAGCATCCACTCATGTCCATGTACATTATTACAAAATATATAATATGGTGAATGGTGATAGCTCGACAGGTATTAAGAGTTGGAAGAAATTAAAAATGTAAACGTAAGTTAAAGATGAGATCTGTCATGATATGTTAGGCCCAGTAGTTGAACTAGTTCATCATAAAAATCTGAAAACCAGGGTTGAACTTGGAGCTGCCTGTTGTCCTTGCCTGCACCCCTACTGAGCCGTGCACTTGACTAGATTTCATCTGTGATTGTTGTCTTCCCTTCTGTTTGCTGTTGTATCACTTAGAGGTCAAGATCTGTTAACAGGTTAAACCTAAGATACCCCGGGGCTAGCCACCCAGACTGACCCTCTGTGGGAAACTGTGATAACATCAACAGAAGAGGAGTCCTGATATACCCTAGCTAAGCCCCTGGTACATAGAGGACCGTGAGATATAACCTCAGAGAGAGTGTGTGTAGTCTGTACCAATGCTTTCTGTACTGGTTCATTTTTAACCTTTTCACAGTTGTTCACAGTTTTCCACAGATAACCAATAAGTTGACCTATAGCCAAACCACACACAGCTCTGGTCCATGGTGGTAGTGCACATATAACTTGTAAGCCCCAGTGTTACCTAATGTTTAAGAAGGCATGTCTTCTCCTTTCTTGAGTATTTTTGCTGACAAGTGGTTCTATCCCCCTGGCCCATGGCAGATTAACATGTCTGGTCCCTTGCTTATTCAGCCTCTACCTAAACAGAACCCTGTACCACTACCTGCCATGTCACCAAACAGTAAAACACTCATTGTTCCCTAAAGTTTACCTTAGGTTTTTTTAGTCCCTCAAAAGGCCAATCTTTCAAGACATGCAAGCAGTGCAGTTCATTATACAAGAATGAAATCAGGCAATACACATTTAGAAGAAAACTGTCCAAGAAAACTGTCCAGTGACTGTTGTCTTACATGAATGTATCTCATTTCCTGGATGTCCATTTTCTATCCAGTTGCTTGAGTGACTGTTTTCTTGTGTATCTCATTAGCTGGATGTCTAACCTTCATTAGCAAATCAGGCAATGTTTATTTATTTATGTGTTTATTTTTGAGATTTGCCACACTTTCATGGAAGGATTGACATAACAGGACCACTGACTATCACCTTTTCAAGATGCCAACCCTAAAACCAGACTGTCTGGGGTTGTATTGCCAACCCTAAAACCAGACTGTAATGCTATGTTTTCTGTTGGACCTGATTCCTGACCAGACACTGCTGTTCTTTTGAGGCCTCCAGATTTACAGGAGTGTCCCATGGCCTTCTGACCTCTGTCAGCACAAGAACCTTTTTCTGGTCTCATTCTGCCAGACCTGTGGGGAAGGGAACCCACCTGTTTCCCTCAAGTTCCTTGTGACTGTCAAGGACGCTATGGGTTCTTTGAGGAAGGAAGTCTTATAATTACATCAAGTTTGTAAAAGTCTTAACATCGCCATTTTTCCTGAAGGTCATCTGTAGCAAGGACTTTACAACTTCCTATAGAGAACGAAGCCTTATAATAGCATCAAGTTTTTAAAAATCTTAACATCATGATTATTCCTGTAACAAGGACTTTACAAGTTCCTTGGAAGAAAGAAGTCGTATCAATTTTAAAATCTTGATATCACCAATTTTGGTCAACTTCTCTATGTAACAAGGACTTAACAAGTTCAATAGTATACATGAACCTCTGGATTTACTGTCTTTTTGCATTACAGTACTTAGAAATAACATGACATGCCAGTCACATTCTTTCACAGCTCATCCACCCAAAACTCAATGTAATTAAATCAATGCAAATGACATTTGTAGTCACAACAGTGTCTTGGAGTGAATAACTTATAGTAGCAACCCAAAGCCATTTCTCAACTTTCTGACGTATATAGCCTACACCAGTATTCCAATGTGATGCCTCCATCTTTAGACTTTAACAGGTAAAGTGCTGAGCTGTGTAACCAAGTGTCAAACTGATAATCTACAAGCCAGTCAGAGTAAACCGAAGGATGTTCACAGGCCACGTCATTCTCACAGTTTGCGTCATTACAAAAAGTAGCATGCATACTCCAGTAGTTAGCGACCCTGGATCTGGACCAAGAGGTACCTGGCTATTGGTGCTCAGCCAACATGCATGCTACTGGAAAGGGTTGCAGTCCTTTAAGACGGGGGCATTAAGTTGTGGTCCAATGTTCATTGTGCTTGTCAAAAAGAAAAGGGGGAATTTCCCCAGTACAATGAACCTGTAAATACAGAATGCCGGTAAATAGCGTCTATCTTCTCTGTCATGACTACTGGAATAGTACCTCAACTGTAAACCAAGGTGATCGAGCTAAACTGCTTAGACATCACTTTCACTTTCCCTTCCCAGGCCGTGCGATACGCCATAAGGACGACTACGCCACCATCGTTCTCCTGGACCGGCGCTACTTCCGACCTCACGTCTGTACGGCACTGCCTGACTGGATCTCCTCACACTTACAGACCATTAGCAAGTTTGGGGACGCATTTGGCACCATTAGAAAGGTAACATTGTGTTACAAGCAGGGAGGGACAGACAAAGCAACAGGACTCGAAATTTAGTTTTGGAGATAGTTGCAGTGGTACACCTAACCTCAAAATGTAGCAGAACAACACATACATGTAGCCTCCTTTGCAGGAGTTCTATGAGCGGTTGGGGGTGGCTGTTTTTTTTCCGATGCGGTTGACTTCTTTTTGGGGTGGGGAGTTTTCTCATTGCACGTAGATCGTACACGCTTAGAACTCTGGCCACCTTCCCTAATAGAAGGTGTACTAGGGGGGAAAAAGCTGGAACGCCTGAATTTTTACTTAAGTTAAATGCCAAGAATATACTGTATACTAGTGTACAGTTATAGTACCATTACGTTATGTGAAACTAATATCTAGGTACACAGCTCGAATTTTGTGTGCACAGAATTGAAGTGCATATGCACCCATTATATTTCCAGCCCTAAGAGAGCATTGTCCTCAAGCAACTTGCTTGAACCTTTTCCAAGCACAGGTTTGCCCGGGAGCCAGCTGGGATGAGTATTTGTATCTTCCGTGGTCTTTCTTAGATATGTGGGGTCAGAGGTACGGCGTGAGGAATGTAGACTATCTATGTCTGAATTAGAGGGTACTTGGTAAGGATCTTCCCTCACCCATCTTGTCTGTCCAAGTCGTAAACAGTCCTGTGCCATTTGGCAGATAGTCATGTCTTGTACACAGTGGCTAGAGAGGGTCTGCATGGGGGGATCCTGGCAGATAGTCGTGTCTTGTACACAATGTCTAGAGAGGGTCTGCATGGGGGATCCTGGCAGATAGTCGTGTCTTGTACACAATGTCTAGAGAGGGTCTGCAAGGGGGGATCCTTGCAACGCTTAACAGTGAATTTAGGAGAGGCGACGATGCTTAATGGTAAATTCAGCCAGGCTTGTAATTCAAACATTGAATTTCAATACTTTAAATCAAACGGTTTCAAATCACAGCACTGATAGATGGAAAGACTAAAGAACTAGAAAGAAATGGACTTTTGGTGCCAAAAGATAAGCATTTTGAGTTGATAAAAAAACTGTTTGTTTTTTTTTGTTTTGCAAATTCAAAAAGAATGAAGCAGGTGAATCCGAGAATCAACCGTTAACATTGGTGTGGCCAAGTAGTTGATAAAGTTCTGCCACTTCCAAGTACTAGCACACCCAAATGTTGTAACCATCTTGTTCCAGGCCTTTTGGTTACGTAGGTTCCTCCTGAACAGATGTTTACCTTGCATTCTTGAACATATTTGTGGAAGTTGTTAACTCCCTTGAGAATGTTAAGGTGTTGGTTGAGAAGTGACAATTCTATGTTGCATGACTCAGGCAAAGTGGGTGTACTTGGGCTCAGTGCCTGGACAAGCAAACAGGGCTAAGCACCCAGGTCCAATTCTGTCAACATCTCCGCAGCTCTGGCGTCCTAATATATCAGCCCTGATGTAGGGAGAGAGCTGACCTGGTCTCTCATGTCCCACATTCCCATATTGTCAGGGATGGGGCCTAGGAAAAAACGTTGGGTTTCCTGTTTCCCGACCAACCCTAAAAAAAACTGTCAACCCCAGCCTTATTTTGTGTGGAACCCTCCAAGGGACATAAATTTTTCAAGCTGATCAACCTTTTCTAGCTCCATGATCTGACACCTCAGTGATGAAACGTTGTACAATCAGTTTCCCAACATTGACATTGAAAATGAAAGTGTCCTCATGCAAGAAGTGCTTTGTTTAACCGTATTTAAGTTGGATCACTAGAGATTGACAAAGTCAAAAAAGAAAGAAAGAAAAAAAGATGATCCCTACCTAACAACCCTAATTTTTTCAGGACTGAAACAGGAAACAATGTTTTTTTTCTAGGCCTGAAAATGTGCCGGAGAACTACTGGAATGTATGGGAACTTGGCAGAGATGTTGTGATGAAAACATCCTGAAAGTGTACTTCAAACCACGGACTTCCTTCCATTAGACATGCCCACAGGCCTCGTGGTCTTCAGTACAGAAACCCGAAGCAGAGGATTTGAGCACCATCGATTTTTCATGACCGAAACACAAAACATCCTCTCATTTGACATAATTGTCATGTGATGACAAAAATTTTGCCCAATTTCGTCATCTTTGACAGACAAAAATCAGTGTGTGAAAATATAAAAAGAGATGTCATTAAACTAAACTTAGTCTACCAACAAAATTTGCTCCTCACAATGCAGGAAATAGCGTTTCAGAGGGAGGCACTCGACATAAATTTACGTTGAACAAAATTGACATGACGGAAAATATTCTGATTACTCTACACAAAGTCTTCTGGATTTTGTCTAGTCAATAAGAATCAACGGATCAAAGGATCTTACATGCTAACATGCCAGCTCCAAAATACATATGCTACCGGTACAATATGTTGGGAGAAAATGAAGTCTTCTTTCACCTTCAAAGTCTTTGCAGTAATGTAAAGTCGTTATCCTTGCATAAGCACAGGCGAACTGTGAAGACACAACCTTTCGCCCTGTCTCCTCAACTATGCAAGTAATGTAACGTGTGTCTTTGACTTTGGTCTCCAGGCAGAACTGTTTAAGGTATTTGTGTATTTGCAGGGAAAGCCGGACAAGCTCCAGTGGTATCAGTACTTATAACACTATATACTGTACAATACTCTTGACTAAGCCCAACTGTCAAGCAACTAGGGCTGGAAATACTGGGTTCATATGCACTTGTGTGCACACAAAATTGGAGCTGTACACCTAATTTTTTTTTCTGTAGGTGAACAGTGCACCTAGATATTTGTGTACATAAAGTGCACTACCGGTAGTATACACAAGTGTACAGTATATTTTTGACATTCAAGTGTCAGAAAAAATTAAAACCTCTGTTGTATTACTGTGAGCCTGTTACTGTTATTACTTGATAAAAATTTAGATATACATGTAATAGAGGCTGTAAGACATGTAATTAGGTTTTACTGACATTTTACTTTTTTTACATTGTACAACCACAGAATTTTCTGTGCAGCTGAATTTTTTGGTTAGGATTGATTCGCAAAAAATGAATTTCAAGTCCTACCAGTGTCAGTGTACCACAAGCAGATGTTGTCCACACAGAACAGGTGTTTCTGCTGCACACAGGCCTAGTCTGTGTGAGGTCTCGGACTTCAAAGCATATATCTTTTGGCAATAATTCATACACGGGCATGTTTTTGTTTTCAAAGACACTGTTTTTTTCCTCCCTGGCTTGTGGGATAAAGACTTTTAAAGTCTTCCAGCTTTGCCTCTCAGCTGTTGTTCTTTTTCCCCAGTCTTCCATTGTCAACTTGAAAAGATGTCTTTTCCTGATATTAATCCAAAGAGGATAGGTTATTTATTTGTCCTGGAGTGGCCTACAAAGCCAAGGATTCACCATGACCTACATGTATCCCAGCTGTAACCCGGAGCTCGGAAAGTTACACTTCTTATGAGGCCAGAACCTCCCATTAGGGACGGTCCCAAGTTTATTTCCTTTACTGAGACTTGCCGAAAGGTCCTCTCTTTTGGACAACTTGATGTTGTGTGAAGGAAGTAGCCTCTACCAGGCTTCAGAAGTGGCTGGAAAGAGTAGAATTTGGCCAGATAATCAGATATCATAATCCCGGAGGAGTGCGCTAAAGTACAGTTTGTGGCAAATTGTACTCAAGCTGTACTCCTTTAGCAGACTAACTCCCCTGGTATGTTGTCTTGTCTATTTGGCCAATTTCTACTCTCTCCAGCCACTTCTGAAGCCTGGTAGATGCTATGAGGCTTTAGATACAATATTGTCATATCTGCCACGACTTAAGCACCATTAGCTATATGTCATTTCACCCTCCTTTGAAGTTTAAATTGCTGACATTGTTTGTTTTGACATTGAATGTTTCAGTCTGTTGATTTTGTTACAAAAGCAAACAAGCTGATTCCAAAGGCTATTCAAACAGCCTTTTAACTCCCTTTGCTGAAAAATGCTTGTTTGACAAGTCTTTATTCTGCCTCCAGTTTTGACAGCATGATTTGTTCACAATGCACTACCATGTCATTACCAACTAATTGAATTGAAAATGAATTTCTTTATTTTAGCTACATTGGTACATACAAATAGATTATACTTATAACAAATTGTATACATCTCTAAGAAGATTGTTCCTTTAGTGGCAGTCAATAGAATCTCGTCTATGTAGACAGGTGGTCACTATAGAAAGGATGCTTTTGTCAATGGGGAAAACTATCTAAGGGACCACCAAAAAGTCCTTATGTAGAGATGGTTACTTGTACAGGTTTGACTGTATTTTGTTATGGTAAACCATACCAGTAGTTTGTATGTCTATAATGATTTGTTATAAAGATTCTATTGTAAAAGCAGTTAGTTCTTACTAACAATGTTTTTTTGTCTTGTTCCAGTTCTTCCTGGCTAAAAAAGCTGACAGATAACCCAGGTCATAACAAGGTTGTTGTTTATTGTTTACTTTTCTTAACATAACCTGTTTGTTCTGCACTTTCTGTCAACATTTTCTTTCTCGGGGACATGTTTTGAGAAGTCTTGTCATTGCGATGTTCTTTGCTGTTACAGTTCTTCAAGAAGAAGAGCGACCTTCCGTTCCATGAGTGAAGAAAGCTGTGATGAGCAGCTACGGCTGACAAAGATGATGCAGCATTTCAGCAGGGCATACTGCACCTGCATGAAACCTGTAATGTGCTGTCTATAGCACTTCAGCAAAACATCTTGTTTAAGATTGTATTCCTGTATTTAGGATAACATCCCGTCTATAGTTTTCAAATATTGTGTAGGAAAAGATATTGGACAACGGGCAAAATCCTGATGCAATGTCGACCAACATCCAACAGAAACCATGAAAAATCTGGGTTTTGCAGAGGTGTGGTATGCTCTGCCAACATGCAACCCTGTGCAAAGCGAGAGATTGTTGCACACTCTGAAATCATTTTTAAAAATTGGCACGTATTAAAAGATGGTGCAAAATAAGCAGAATTTGTTGGGGTTTTTTTCATCACCCTCTTGCACCAAATTGGAGATCTCCTACAAACATGATCAGTGAATGAATTTGGTGTGGCCTTCCCAGTGTTGTACCAGCAGGATGTGGCACCTTACTGCTCACAGCTGGGCCTCCCTGGGCTGTCAAGGCCTGCTAATCCTGCCCTGCTAGATTAGCCTGGATACCAGACTGCTTCCAGAAGGCTTACATAGCCCAGCTCCTCACTCCAGGGCCAACATGCCCCAAGGAAATTTTCCAACAGTCCCCCATGAATTAGTAGCAACGTAAGTTTCGAATTCTTCCCTGCGTGGCTATAGCCAAAGGGATAGGTGCACGCAGTAATCTCCAAGCAGATCCTAAGGTGGCAAGACAACAGTAGACATTGGCCAGAAGAGTGAGCATTAGCCCTAGTGGCTAATGGTCACTCCTCTGGCTAAGGGATACTGTTGGATCTTGTTGCCTTGTTCTGGCATCCAGGCTAATGCTAGATGTGCTTCACGACTTATAATGGAGTAGACAGGTGTTCCACCTGTAAAAGGGTTCCTCCTTGGGCTGACCTTGGCATTGGGGTGACAAGGGGTCAGGGTGTGCTTCCTCTAGGAGGGCCTGCATGGGGATCCTGACAATACTTGACACTGAATTCAGTAAGACTGTCTAGTATTTTACTAAATTCAGGAAGATTATGCAAAATGTGGCTACGAATTATGGATGGTTCCCTCTTTGACCACATGTGGTTATCACGTGTCTTCTCTGTAGTTTGTGTACTGTAGACAATCCATCATATTGGTCATAAGGCAATAGGAGTTGAACTTGAAACAACCCATGGGGATTACTTCTTAGTATAAAGTGGACCAGCAGAGTGGATTTTTCATGGTTTTCTTTAGATGTTATGTCAACGTTGCATCAGAATTTTGCCTGTTGCAGACGATATCTTTTCCGTCGCACCATTTATGAAAACTATAGACAGGGTGTCGTCCATAAATACACATATATGACCTTTTAAAAGATTTTCAACGTGTTATTCACAATACCGATTTTGCTTAGGCACAGTATATTATACATAACATTAGGATGGACTGTAGTTGCCATTTGCTTCCTCTAGCTGCAAATGCAAGTGTCTGATATATATAGGTTGTTAGTCAAAAATATAGACATTTCAAAAAGTCTAAGATCTACTGTGCGTCCTCTTGCTTGAGGTCTATCCAACACCTGCTTACTTACATTCCAAGTGGCACTTAAAGACACCAGAAGACTCTGTATCTCCAGTTCATCCTTAAAGTTGTTTAGTCTCAGGGATGATCAGTCAGTTAGCCCATCACTGAGAAAAGAATCTGGAGGATTTCGGACTAGGCTATAATTCTTGGTATGACACACCAGTCTAAATTGTGTGCTGAGGTTAAGTGGAGAAGTGCGGTTGTACGGGACCACCAGAGTCGTCTTTCAGTCTTGGCGACTTTCTCAAGGAAGGAAATACGGTACAGAGAAGTCATGTAAACATAAACATTGTATCCAGCCAGATTCCTGTTTTATTCTGTTACGATGTTTAACATCTTGTTCCTTGCAATGTTGAAATCTTTGAAGTACATGTAAATGTAACAATATGACGTTCAATACATTGGTATTGCCTTTTACATTGCAAGTTGTAGAAATCATTTCATGCATAGATTTTGCCTACTACAATAGCAGTCTTTACAAGTCTGGCTTTTGGAGGGCTTTTTTTCTGATCGCATATCAGTTCTTAGCCTCTTCAAGGCTTCAGAGGCACCTGGAAAGAGTAGAAATTGGCCGAATAGACAGATAACATGCCAGAAGAGTTAGCTTGCTGACAGAGTACAGTTTGCTGCCCTGAACTATATACATGTACTCCTTTAGCGGACTAACCCCCTGCATGTTATCTGTCTATTTTGCCAATTTCTACTCTTTCCAGATGTCACTGAAGCCTGGTAGAGGCTAATATAACCAGAAGAAAGCATGTTATAGGCCAAAAAAGCCCTACGGTTACCCCTGGAGCCAGAGGTTAGATGTCACACCTAGAAGTAAAATCAAACTGGCCAGCTGCATCTCTGACAATCCTTCTTGTAATTGCTGTTAAACACTTAACCGCTCGCAGTCCTGTCTTTCTATTTCATTTTTCCTAAAGTAGCCCTTACAGTGTGATATGTTGAAGAAGAAAGCACAAATTGGTAAAGTCAACACAGCTGGCAATGGGAAACTAGTACCAGATGTTACTACACAGTCTAGTCTGGCCTAGCTTTTTAGTGTTCAACACTTTAGCTGTGGTATCAGGGAAAAGGAGGTTTTCACACCATTTTTTTTTAATTCATGATTGTTCTTTTTTGTAGTCATACAAGGGAGACATAGTCATGGTGTCATGGTTTTGCACTGAAAAAAATGTGCAAAATGAAACCACCGCAAAAGTTTTGCAATTTACAGTACTCGATCTTCCATTGAGGAGTAGCTTGGCTACCAAAGCCATTTTAGCTGCCAAATCTCATCCTCTCTGCAAATAGTGGAGAGGACAAAAGAGACTCGGAGGCTAGAAAATAATAGGTTAGCAGAGAGGACGAAAGAGACTTGGCAGCTAAATTAGGATTGGTAGCCAGGCTAGAGTCGGAGACTACCACCCCAGGTGTGACTAAACTTTTAAGTCTGGCCTTTAGTGTGTTTGTTTTACAGCACACCTCTCAGGACACGCACTCTGATCTCTTCATGCCCTCTCCACAGGATAGTAGACTTACACTTTCTCACCTCGCCCCCCTCCCCACTGTGTCCAAGGTGAATCCTAGGGGCAGGGAGGTTTTGTCCCAGGCCAGGGGTGTGTGGGAAAGGATGTCTCACTGATAGCTGTGTAGCCTGACTTGGCAGTTTGGTAACCAGGCTGCATGCGTGGCTTTTGGACAAGGGGGCACTTTGCTGGTAGCCTAATATACTGAATAGCAAAGTTCTTTCAACCACTTGTTAACAATAGGTGATGACAGTCTGTCATCTTCATCAGGGCAATTATGACTGGTTTACTGTGCACTAGTACTGAAGCTTGGTATTATCACTAACAATGTGACCCCAAACTTTTAAAGTTATGTTTTATTTAGATGAACATATGCTGAATCATGAATATTGGTTTCAAACCACAGAATGAATACAGTACTGTATGAAACGATTTTGGTTCCTTTTAGGAAAGTGAGCAATTATGTCAAAAGTGGATTTTCGATGTTGCAAAGATTGCCTTTTGAAAAACTGTAAAGTTGTCTACACTGAATGTTACATTGTGTACAACTTTCAGGAATTGGTCTCTAGAGACTTAAAGGGAAATTACTTTTCTGAACTACAATTCAAGTCTACCACAAAAAAAAACAGTTTAGAGATGACCATTATCATCCTCGTTAATTGGTAATTATGTGTGCAGCAATTTCACACCTACAACAAGGCCCCATAGGGATGTATAATTAGTGCCTAATGTGTGTGTAGGTGGTACAACAGGGCCGAGATAACCATGAACCTCTGCAGCACCATGGCCACACACAGAGTCGACATTTTTTTGTTCTTTTGGTCAATTTACTTTGGAATGTCACGTATTGCGATTTGGTTTTGATGTGTGCCGCCAAGTAGAAATGGCAGGCCTTGACTGGAAGCTGAAGGGCTGAATACCTACATAGCACAGCTTTTTTCTGTCACATCAAATTCTATACTATTTCTCTTTATTTGCAACAAGGATGGAAGAACTGCACACTGATCTTCCAGACACTACAATGATTGATAAACATTCAGGAAAATAGTTATTTGAATATCAGCAAATGACCCATGGCCATTCAATACAATTGTTACAAGTAATATTTATTCAAGTTTAACCTCCTTGGCTTGTTGCAAAGTCTTTCCCGAAGGCTTATTGCAAGTCGCACAACTGAAAGATTAAGCCATCCAATGCAATTTAAGGGCTGCAAAGCAAAAAAAAAAATTCTGGAAGAGGAAATCTGTCTGATATTGACATTTACTGTCATTTCTTAGCACATTTTCTTCATCATTTCTTACTTGAAGTGTTTGAAATAGCGCCAAAAACAAGCTACATGTATATGATGCATCTCCTTCGTTTTTGGTACCACTTATAAATAGCTAGAACTAGCCTGCGATACAAAACATGCAAGCATTTTCTGTCAGTGTCATCACATTCAAAGTTTGCCTTACAGATGTCAGTATGCTATGGGATAGTATTGATCCAACTTGCTAAATTAAAGTTAAAAGAATGACCAGAAAATTTACTAATAGTATTCTGAAAATCCAGAACAGTGTGAATTGGTACACAAATGGAGGTCCGACCAACCGGACCCATGGAGTGCAAAAGACTGTCTCGACATGCAAAGTTCAAACCCAAGAATGCTGCTAAGGCCATGTTGATTTGATTATGTGGATGACATCCGCACTTGCATGAATTTTCGTCTGCGAAAGTTTTCGACCATACTGTAAATCGTACAAAGTAGCTGCAAAATGGGAAAATATATGCTGTACTGATTTTTTTTTTAAATTGGAAAATGATACTTATGTCAAAGAATGCCAAAATCAATTCCAAATAACAAGAAAATGTGAAGGAATGAAAATGAAGAGTCTATTATTCACCATGGCAATAAAATATTACTCTGTGTGTTCAGTGATTTGTTCAACCTAGATTTCAAAATAAAAGCAACTTTTTTTGCCAAACTTTTTTTTATTCGCACGCTCGCATCAGTTTTGGGTTTCCCATGGAATGCCATCCATATAATCAAGTCAACATGGCCTAATGCAAGGATTGGGCTGGTTCTTATCCGGATCCTTACACCTGCTTGGAGATTAGGACGCCCCCTCTACACCGGACCTCACACTTGATCGCCAAACCAGCGGGGAAAACCACACATTATAGCAGGTAATCAGGCAGTCATCAGTGGCCTTCCACCGGGAATTCTCACCTTGGTATTACACGGTGGTGGACGGCTAGGACCCCCGCTGGTAGGCTCTAAAGACTTGATGGTCAATTCAAAGTTTATTGCAAAACAACAGGTACAATGTAATGTTGCACAAGACTACTAGCTATTACATAAATGTAGTGCAATTTGCTCGCAGATTCTAAGCTATACAATATTGATGGAAGACAGGCTTCGGGAAGTGGTTGGAAACAGTAGAAAATGGCCAAATAGACGATAACATGTCGAGAGCTAAAGAGTACAGTATGCCGCTTCCCGAAGCCTGGTGGTGGTAGAGGCTACGAAAGTTACTGAAAAGAAAATGTTGAAAGTGTTTGCAAAAAAATAAATGATTAACATTGAGGGAAACGACAATTATCATTACTGTATAAAGTCTACAAAATGTTGAATTTCAATATGTAAATTTTCGGAAAAAATCTGAGCTATTTGTCACTAGATAGACGGATGGCTTGACGACCGCGCCCACCTCTACAAACAGATGAATCGGTAGGGTTGATTTTGTTGGTTTTTTTTCTGCGTTTCCTAGAGCTTGATCTATAAACGGCTTGCTCGTGGCCACCCTGTTGAGGAATCGTCGGTGAAGAGTAGAGGAATCGTTCCTAAAAGTGCATTACTAGAGCACTAAAATGTTGCAAAAACAGCGACCGAACAGACTGATAATGATCCTTACATCTGCTTGAAGAATACCCCCCTCCCCACCCGTAGCTAACTCATCCACACCACGGTGGGTCCGGACATGACCGGCACTTGGCGTAATTATCAACATCATTAGTGCGCTTGGGCTGTAGATTAACATTGTCGTTTTTGTGTTCATCTTCCTTGCCCTCTATTGTCCTAATCTTGTCTCCCTAATTGCTTCCCCGCCTTGAGTAATGATGCTGTTCTCTCGGACCATACACAAACGCGAGAAAATCCACGCCCCACCAATTAAGAAATGTGTCGTAATTGGAGCACTTTCACACCTCCCTGGATAAGCTTATTGTTCGTCTCTGTGTGCTAAAAACGACTGTCAGGGCTAGCTGGTGATTATACCGCCAAACTTTCACACAACTTGAGCTAGCACTGCATACTTGAAACAAGTGGCAAACTATTATTTTTAGACAAATTTTTCAAACGTCAATGATACGTCATTGCGGGGATGTGGTGGAAAGTTACTCTTCCAAAATCGTCTACAAAGGTGTTTCCACCGTCTGTAATTGAAATACATTGCCAATAACCCAATAAGGCCCCCTAAGTTCCACCAGAGGACGCTCGTTGAGCGACTAAAAATGGATTCGAATTACCCTTGATTTTATAACTGGACACGATGTTTATGATGTGATTTAAAAGGCAACAAAACGTGGTGAAAATCGTTCTTGATGTATGAAATTCGCCGAGTGAGCTGTCAAAGTTTGGGTCGTTCGGAAGTCTCAGCCTCTAGTGAAAAGAGGGTGTTATCACTGATATATGAAGCTTATGTTCTCCGTCCTAAAATACCTTGCAGATAGCCTGACAGAAGCACGCTTCTTCAAGTTCTTGCATCTGTCAGGGACAGAGAGAGTTATAGTGTTACACAGACTACCTTGCCGTGCCTGTCCCTATGACCTGTTCCCACGTCCTTGAGGTTTTGATTTGCCCCTACAGCGGCACTGGTAAATGGGCCGGGCACCCTCCCCTGGAGCTGACAAATTTCTGTCAAGACGCCTTAACTAGGCTCCATTAGGTTAGACGGGGATTTCCTGCCCGCACGGTTCCTGAAACAAGTGCAAGTGGCCCCTGTCGGCGGGAACTCGGGACCCATCCCCGCCAATTTCCCCCCGTGCGCCTGACGGTTCTCCGCCAGCTGCGAGCGGTTATATCATCTGTTCATCAACATTAAAGAACGGTGTAAATAAGGCCCAGGCACACTTCCCCGCTGAAACTGTACTACCAGATGGGATGTTTAGTATCAGGGCTTGGACTACTATCTTTACTTTCCATGCGAATGGCGTAGAGATCATTATTTCAATTCCGTTCACAGTGCGCGACCGCAGAGATACGGAAAGCCAGGATTTATATTGTGGATTCTCTCTGTGATATTTTTCACGTCAGCATTTTCCTAGTCGCGCTATTACACGATATATGACATAATGTCCTTGATGTTAGCAAATGTCGGTGGTGGTTTGAGACACTTCGGAACACGATTTGCCTAAGTTTGACGGTAAGCCATGCAGTGGCTGCTGGTGAGAGAAACCACTTTTTGTGAAAATACGTTGATTTATCATAGTTATTTTAGAAATCTAAAATGTATATGTTGTTTATCTGCAGCGTTCCTAAGAAAGGGAATTACCAGATAACTTTTTGTTGGGCGTGCACGGGGTGTTTTAAGAGTTCTCCTTAGGAAAAGTCGCGCTCTGGGAGACGCCATTTTGTTCTGTGCAGACAGACACTCTTTAGCCCTCCGGTCCGGGATAAGAAGCTCGATTTCCTTGGAATTTTCTTCGTGGCTGTAGGTCCGACTGCAAGGGAATAGCAAGAATACCAATGCGTTCCCGTAGAAATGAAATATTTCAGACTCATCTGGACAGTTGTAGAAGGCACTTTAACGACCAGGCAAACTTTGCATTTTAAACTGTTGTATCAAAACATTATGTATGGGTCTTTTCAAGAATACATGATTGGTTGGTGAAGATTCAAAAGACACTGCTTGAATAAGACTTCATTGTTCAAGAATGCAATATGGACTCGTCAAAACTACCAAAAATCGTGCGAACTTCTGACACATTCGCATGTTTGACGGCAGCTTCTTCAGCAGACCACTAACAACCTCGCCGACCAAATCCCAACCACAGACGACGTTCCTCAAGAGTAACTCCCAACCATGGTCAGGAGATGGTCGGGAGGCCAATGCCCATGGTCGGCTGTGGGTCGGTTTTGTGTGACAGGAGACAAGTACGTAGACATGTTTATCCTACTGAAGTATGCGGACTGTTCTCCGGTGTGGTCCCGAGTATTACTGTATCGCGGGCTTCGGACGCGTGTGCGATGTAATTTATTTTATTTCGGCACGTCTTGCAAGTGTACAAGGGCCTACTTAGTACAAGACCTTGTCTAGGCGCCTTCTTTCGTGCCTAGCCAAAGTCTGCCCGACACAGGGACTAGGGAGTCGTTCCCCCGTCGGTTTGGGATTTAGAAAATCTGCAGGCCGAAGTCCACAAATGTTTGGTTCTGAAACTGGCGGGTAATCCGCCATGCAGGAAATACGGATAGCCGAATGTTTGCAAACTTTGGCAAAAGTCATCAAATCCATGGCAGGCGTCCGTAACAGGACCTTATCTAAACTTCATTGGTTACTTTTGTCGGGAGTCTGGCCAATGGCAACATTCCTTTCTTCATACACTCCCTAAGCTCCCCCAAAAATTTTACGGAAAACAGGCCTCCCTTCGAGCTATTTGGACAATGTGTTTCTATTGGGCCATCAGCGGGGGCGGGGTCTAATCAAAACCATTGTCTGTGCCCAATTTTCACCTCTGTCTCCCAGCAGCACTACCCCCATTCGTCAGTTGGTACAGCCCTCATTATCCTAACAATATATCACGACCAGCCTCCCTGTCGTCCGTCGACAGTCGACGTTTGACTTGGTTGGAGGCCTGCAGGCTCCGGGCTATCGACGCGCCGCTACTTCGGTCAGAATAATCTCCCTCCACGGACTTTTATTATTACCATGGACGCACGGATGCTGGTGGTGGTACCGCTGGTCCTGGCCGCCGTGCCGCTGTGCTGGGGGATGGGGACGCCGTACGGCTACAGTTACATGTACGTGTCGGACCAGCCGCGGAAGTGCGTGCAGATCCCGCCGACGCTGGTGCTGTGCGACCAGCTGGCCTACAACGAGATGCGGCTGCCGAACCTGCTCGGGCACGAGAATCTAGACGAGGTACAGGAGCAGGCGAGGTCCTGGGTCCCCCTCCTAGCTCAGAGGTGCCATCCGGACACCAAACTCTTCCTCTGTTCGTTGTTTACACCCGTGTGTTTGGAGCAGGACATCTTCCCGTGCCGCTCCCTGTGCGAGGGCGTGCGGGACTCCTGCGCCCCCGTCATGGCCCAGCACGGATTCCCCTGGCCGAAGATGCTCAAGTGCGACAAGTATCCTCCCGACAACGACATGTGCATCAAGTCTCAAACCACACCAGGTCCGTATGATCCCAGGCGACCCAAGCCTGCTCAACACCCCGGTATGTTTACTTGTTTCCCTTCTCTCTCCATGTGCGTTCTCCCCGCCAGCCTCTCCTGCGTGTGCCCGAGCCAGGCTTTACCCGAACAAGCACACACGCTATTCTCGCTATTTATAACATTTACTAACGATCAAATATGACAAAATGATACCATGATCCTTTCCTGTCATTTTCCCGAGCTTATTTTTGCTGACACCCTTTTCTTTTCACAATTTGCACACTTTTGACACAGCAACAGTGCTAACAAGACATTTTCCAGAACACTTCGAATTTGCGATCATCGGTAGTGTTAATCGCGTGATTGTTTTTAAAAGAAAATGACTGCGATTTGATTAATCAGAATTGCTAGCACAATAAAACAAATTTTCGTTGATGACCAACCAAAACAAAACACTTTTATTAAGTTGTTCCCGTGGTTCTCGCGCGTTGATCTTGTGGACTATAATCACGCAAGGTAACATCTACCTTGGCGGCCTTGGCTGAGGGGTGACCGTCGTCTGTTTCATGACCCCAAAACAGTCACTGCCCATCAAGATCGTACGTTTTAAGTCATATTTTGGATGCTACTTGAAACATCTCACAGTTTTCAAAATCTGCCCAGTTGCATGAGTAATTAATTGTTTTCTTGTGTATTTTTTCGCGTGTTCCACCGTAACTTCCTGTCAAGTCGTTATGATAACAGTGACTGACGGCTATGATAATTACGTGATAAGCTGTGATTCAGTGTGAAGCAATCTTATCGGTCCATCTCTATCGTTTAACTCTTGAGAGCCCCGGTATCTCGCCATGCCCATAAACGCACCTGTGGTCCGTCCCAACAGGCCACGATGTCCACATTAAATCATGGACAGACAGACGGGCATTTCTCTCCACATATGGTTTACTCACCCGACCCGTAAATATATGATTACCCGCTTCCCCTAATACGAGGTGACATCGAAAACCGCGCGCCGTATCAAGTTTTCCTTCCCTAAGTTACTTTAATCCTATCTCGTCTCAATTAACCCAAGATAAATACCACCGTCTGGCTCATCACGGGCCGTGTTTGTGTGGCAGTTTCGTACAGGTAAACAAATCAACGTGCCGACGCCCGCCTCAGCCAACACGGCGGCATTCCACCAATCACTGAATCAGTTCTATGGCTTCACCTGTTGTTCTTTGGAGTTGGTGTTTTTGTTTACATCGCTGCTATCCACTAGAAGGCAATCATTGAGTAACAAATTTGGATTGGTTTTATAATCGGAATATGATGCACACACATGTTTAGATGTTTAAAAAGACAAAACAAAACACTGAAAAATCATTTTTTCATTCTTGATTGATGGATAAAATTCGTTGAGCGATGTGTCAGATATTTGGTCTTGTGGAAACGGGGCCTAAAAGACCTAGCCTGGGTACCAGACTGTTTTCAGGGCCTACACTAACCAATTTCTCGGCTCCAGAGCCAACATGCGGCCAAGGAAAATTGTACCGCAGCCCCCTCAGTTAGCCACCTCTTGGCCTAGCGTGTTATGGGTCTGGGATCCAGGCTATGAAAGACTATAGAACATGCTGTTGACTTGTTTCCAAGAGGAGTAGGAAATGCCGATCACTCATCAGTCCAAGAAAAGAGCGGAAATCCCATCTGATATCGTGATGGTGTTTGGATACTGATAGATGCACAAACACACGCCTCTTCATTCTCTACTGTCCTCTTTCACCAACGCGAAAACCCTCGAAGTTGAAAATTATGCATTAATTGGTTGGAGATGTTTTTGTTAGATCTTTTTAGTCCGTCGACAGCTGTTTGGTTTGTGGAAGTGAGGTCCCGGCGAGTCGGCGGCGGTAAAAAAGACAAGCTCAGTTATCGTGCCAAATCTGCAAGCCACCAAGAATAACTCCAAACACACCTAGAAAAACTGTCATCTCGGCGGGAGGCCGTGTTATCAAGGAGAATTATTAATGATGATGTCGGTTCCCTCGACTGAAATGCAAGCCGGCATTATGCACGATTCGACACGGGGACTTACTGTGGGGACACGGCTATGACAGGGAGTTCGTCTTTCCTTGTGGAATGCAGGGTGCTAGCATTATTTATTACTCTTCAAGCAGAGGTTAGGACGTTTTTTTTTCAGACGTTCTCTCTGGCTTTCCTGGCTAGGGTATCGAAAAAAAGACGACAAAACACCTAAAATGTACGAAAACAGCTCACGGGAGTACAGTACTTGTTTACCACTTGTGAGTAGCAACTTGGGTCATGTATGAGTTTGAAGAAAAGCCCACCAAAACGCCTAAACGTTTTTTAAACGTCGAAAGCTGACCCAACCTCTGCTTGGAGAGTAGGACCGCCCTGGACACATCTGTCCTCGGCACATTTGGCAGACTGACTCCCCACGTAGCTCCCGCGCCGAGCGTGCGGAGTGATGCCGCTCGCAGGTCGGATCTACCGCCGGTAGACTGTATCCGAACCTACACAACCCAGCTCCGCGGCTACAGGGTCACCATGCCCCCCAAGGAAATTATACCACAGACCCTGATCCACTGGCTAACTCCGGGTCTAGCGTGCTAGTGGTCTGGCATCAGTCTTGCCGAGTTTGGCCAAGTTTTGTTACCTTCGAGATTCTCTACCATATTTTCCAAACTGCTGTCGAATGAATTTTTTCAGTCCCCCTACCAAGTGTCCCTTATGTATGGTAGAGACCATTGCATTTATATCACATTCGTCCGTAGAGCAAGGACAGTCTTTTCCCTATTAAACAAGACAGCTGGGTTTTTTTTCAAGACACACATCACACATGCACGACTGTCTCAAGCAAGAATGCGTACTGCGATCGCACGACATGAGTGATAGCCTGGATGCCAGACCCAAAGCACACTGGACACAAAATATCTCAGTGTGCACACTACATGAGTGACTAATCTCAAAGCAGATCTTTCGGTGGTGGCAAAGAGTCGAAACTTTCAATGAAAGACAGTATCAAAAAATGGCGAATGTTAACTGTCTGGCCAATGGATACTGTCACTGTCTTTGCGCCCACCGAAAGATCTGCTTGGAGACTTGGGTGACCGGGTCCTAACGCCCCTTTCAGTTATTACTACGACAAAAAAAGGTGTCAGTCCCAGTTCCGGGGATCAGCGCCCTGCCCGCCCATGAATGGTCCTTTATCCGGCAGAACTGCCAGTTTATTTACTCGGCGTGAGTTCATTGTAAACCCCGGGGCGGGAAACTCGTTAGCCGACTGGTCCAGTTTCCTCTTCACTCCTTCTCACAACTGTGCACGACACGTTAACTTTTCACGCGACTCACAGGAAAGGACAATTTGCATCCTAACAGTATTAAACACCCCCTCTCCACTACTGAGGCTGAGATCTCTGAGGGCCAAAGATTTGCCAGATCGCGCAATGAATTTCATCCATAAAAAGACGATTTTTGATACGTTTTGTGTGTTTTGTTGGGATCTAATCATACTTTTTCATCATGGCTTCATAAACGAAAAACAAGGTCGACACAATCCAATTTTAGACGCTCAGCGACAACAGAGCGGCGGAAAGGGCTTAAGAGATCTGAATTTTATTATTTTTCCTTGTTTTTGTTTCAAAACCATATTCATAAGAAAGGTTTTGCATTGATTAACAGCCCATCGCTAATGTGTGTTACATATGCAGTGGTTTTCAAAACAGCCGGTGAGAGATTGTGAGTCCATATTTATGACGGAGATGGCTATCTGGACTATGAAGTTCGTCATTTCCAAAACATCTAATTTGGACAATGAATGAAGACTTTATGAAGTTTATCGCGAAAATATTGCCAGTAGTGACAGTAATTGACTTGCTTCGGTAGTCGACAAAAATATATTCAGTTGCTCATGAGGAGTAGAATCGTAAGAACCTACATCAAAATATCATAACGCCTAACACACACACACACACACGTAGGCACGCACGCACACACACACATGCACGTACGCACCCACACACACGCACATAAACACAAACAAACCCTGTCTCTGACACACATCACTATTTTCCATCATTCCCCATCCCAGAACTATCGATGCTTGCTAATGATTGTTCTTACTTACACTGTTAAACTTACAGATATTCACGATCATTATTCTCTCACGATTATTACACTACCTCAGTTGCTAGCCTGGAAAATGAATTCCTTATAACGTTGAAACTGTCCTTTCTTTCCACGCCAGGTTCTTGTATCGTGTGTTTGGAGGAGGGAGACGACAGAGACTCAGACTTCTGTTCCAGCGATGTTGGTAGGTAGACTACTTTATATGTTTTTAATACAGTACATGTACTTAGGTTATCGGTGACAAACCGAGACTAGACTGCGGCCGCAGAACGATCAAACATTTGATAGATCGCTCAACGTTCCATCTCTCAGCCCAAGCAGCCTTGCTCAGTGGACGGTGGAAAGGGGTGCCTGAGTGAAGACATGTCCAATATTGACTCCTGGCCTTTGCGTGTCTTGTGTACATGCCGGATTACAAACACTCCAAATCGCGCATTAGTCCCGCTCCCCGCGGCGAACAATGGGACAATGGGTGTCGGGCCAGCTCCTCTGACCCCGCGTCAGCCGTGTCTGGTGTGTCCCGGCGCTGTCTGCCCGTACAGGCCACCAGGGTAATCCTACCGATCTAACCACGCCGGCTAAAGGGAGAATAACTTGCCGGGGAGTTTGCTTTTGCCCACATAGGGGATATGTTATCCTTACCGAGGGGTACTCCCCTCATGGCTTATTGTTGACACTATTTTTGCCGAATTCTACTACCAATATCCCCTTAGGAGGGCCTGGTGGAGGCTAGGATAATCCAGAGGTTGTGTCCCCCGTGCCTATGGCCTTCAAGCAGATGGTGGGAGGATAAATCGTTACATTTTCCTATCTGTCTGCTTCTGTTAAAAACTCTCCAGATGACTTAAACTTTCGTGGTTTGTAAAAACAGAAACGGGCAACTAGGAGGACGTAACGATTTCGCCTCCCAACGTCTGCTTGGAGATTATACCGTAATAGTAATACCCCGTGCTCTCCGGTAACCCCGGACAGCGCAGTTCAGCTCAGTTCATCCTCTGTAGAGGTGAGAGACCAGACACACCCCAGTAATATATCACTCTGTATGTCCTATCTACGTCAGGGTTGATTCGTGTTTCAAGTCTTCACAGTCAGAGAAACGGTAAGCCCTTCCCCCACCTAGATCTGCCGGGAGATTACCGTCGCCCCGATATTTCCCTACAAAATGAGCGGTATCATCTTCGTCCCTCCCTGCGGTACCAAAACAGTCGCTACTGCACCTACCAATGCGAAACCAGAAGGGGTAGACTAAAGGGGGTATCCTAACCCTAGCATCATAAGCAATGTGTAAACATGGGATCGTATGTGGATGGAAAGTTGCTTCATATTTAGCGAGACATGAATGTTTAGTCGAACTCTATTACAGATCAATTATGCCTAATTTGCATGATTGAAACAATACTCCTATTACTTAGATGTATTAGTGGTAAATAAATAATGACTATTTCAGTCTTGTGCCATATGTAATTTTGTTCAGGGTGGACATAATCAGGCGTATATCGTGTACATTTGCATAATTAATGAGAAAATCTTAAAAGTAGAACTCTGCCAAATGGTAGGAGCTTCAAAGTTATAAAATGTGTAATTTCGATAGGAAAGACGCCACAAGACAAAGACGTTTCACCTTATTTGCATGAATGATGACAAGACACTTCAAAAACCTCTCTGTAGCTCTATTTCTCGGACGTTTGAGGTCTTCGAACTGTAGTTTGTAGACTTGTTCAGTCGTGCTGGGAGAGTCAGGGGTGGAAGTTTGGAAGGCGACACGTAATTGTAAACTTCGCACGGCTGCCAAAATAATGAACAGATATCAGGGCGGAATTCCAACCGTGACCCGACGGCCGACCCTCTGTCCAGCGCCCGGCTCTTCGCGTGGTCTGAAAATGATGTGGCGACGGACGGATGGCGAGAACATGGACGCGTTCTCACGCACTTGTAGCCGGGACCTATAGTCTTTACCTAGCCTGGCATCCAGGACATCGTAGACTCCGCGGTATCTGTACGGTGCTGGGAGGACCGCCCGCCCGCCCAGGTCCATTAGTGAAGCCCGGGGTAGTTAACGAGGACGGTTTCAATTACATGTAGTAAATTAGTTCGTCTACAGGACTACAATAATAAGGTAGAAACTACTACTAAGAAAGTCAGACAGGAACGATCTAGCATATCAGGAAAGGCCTATACCGACTAAGGCCCTATCGGAGAATTTAGTCGGAGAAAGATAATTAAACTAGGCTAAGCCGGTTGCTGGAAAATAGCAGAAAGTAACCAAATAACAGTACTAGAACTCTGAATATTGTACCAGAGGAGTTGGTCGGACATGGACGTACACTGAAACCCTCGAAGAATAACATGGCCTCTGTGGCATTTTTATAGTCTAGCTATTTGGCCAATTTCTACTATTTTCGACCAACCCATTGGAGTCTGGTAGAGGCTAGCTGGGACTAGACCACAGAGTCCTGGCGAACGTCAGACCTCCACTCCGCCACGGTGTCTGTGGCAGGCTCCGATAATTGCCAGAGCCGTAAATCAAAGTTTACAACCTCTGAATGAATTGTTCAAGCTCGGTCCCCCTTCCGAGTAATTCTATTTTAGAAATTCTACAGCCCATTTTTTTAGCAACACGCTGTGATGCGGTTCATAGTTTAATTTCTCAAGAGCCCGACATTTCCGCCGACCCGTCTCGTGCTTTGCGTGCATGTTGGGAACCGACGAGCGCGCCAAGTTCTCTCCGGTCCTGATCCAAGTTGCCCGCGGCCACAAAATTTAACGCCGAGGGTAATGATAAACCTTCCAGGCGTAAATATGGCACGTCCGGGCGATACCCGACTGCGGCCTGGAACCACTTGTTCAAGCCCCAACCCTTGGATTATCCCCGTTACCACTTGGCCTCTGTAAAAATCGCGTGATTTCTGTGAAACAAACGATAAATGCTACAACAGCCTTTCCAGTGAACCGTCTGATTTCTTGGCGGGAAAAATGCCCCCACTTACTCCGAGGGAGGGACTGTGTGACTAATGCTCCCTTAGCCTGGGAAATCGTCCAAGTTTGGGATGTTGCTGGCTTCGCACACAGGAAAAAACGTGTCACCCCATAGCAACACAAGGCAAGCCAAAACAACCTCAGTCCGTTCTTGGAAATCCCTTGAGGAGAAAAGAGTTTGGTACGTGATTCTAACCGCAAAGCACTGGCACGAGTGGCAGCTTTTGACATGTTGTCGGCGGAAAGAACTGCCAATACCCCATGTCAATAGTAGAAAAAAGCAACTGCATGCTTCTATACACAAGGAAATCGTTACTCTGAAGTGGCTCATAAGGTTTTGAAAAATGGCAGACTGTTCAAGGGCGTCAAGTAGCATCTACTGCTTTTCGTCAGTGACAATTTCCTTGTCTACAACAACTACACGGTGTCAGAAAACAACTTCGGAAAACGGCTCAGTCCCAGTTAAACCACAGACGGAGCTTTTCGGTCGACCAGACAGACCACAACACCAAACGACCGTAATACCCCGGCTCCAAAACTCCCAATTTAGCTTACTACCCAGGGTGTAGCTGCAAAATCCTCTTAGAAAGTCCTCACAATACGACCTGTCCGACTAGCCTTATTAGAGGCAAATCCGCCTAGTCCCACCAGGCAAGGTCTGCTCTTGTATAGGTCTTGTCCTGCCCGTACACAAGAGACGGTCCTATACTAGGGTTTTCGAAAAACAACCCCAAATACTGTGCTTCAAGGGACACTCTAGTTCGCATTTTATCGCTGAAATATATGCCAAGCCTGCAGGGTTTTATAGCAAAAATGTAGCCAAGTTTGTTTTTATTGTCCATGTATGTAGGCATGTCTCTTTGTTTTCATGACCAAGTCTGACCGGATTTACATTAAAAATTGTAGTTAAGTCATTTTTGTGGACAGGATATTGCCAAGTCAGCATTTTTTCAATTAGATTTTAGACCTATGGACAAAATTATAGCCGCCGCTGCTTGTTTTTTTTTACCCCAAATGTAGGAAGAGCTTTTTATAGAACAAACGTATAGCCAAGACTAGTCCAAAGTAGAAGTAGTACAAGTCCAAGTAGAGTGAGAAGTTTTCTCTGGGTAAGGCCTGGAGCACATCTTCCGGATCCCTTCAAAGTTATCAATATCATATAATTATTCCCCGTCATAACGACAAAAATATCTAAGGTGACATCCAGGCAAGATGATATATAATGCGGCGAGCACAATATTATGACAATGACGTAATATACACAGGTTATAATACTAACAGGGTTTGATCAAGTTTCTCCGAGTGACGTCACGTGTCTTTTGATGACGTACGGTTTGTGTGTGTGTGGCCGTGTTGAGAAGGGGCGTATGGGCACGGAGTCTGATGTAGTCACTCCTAGGCTACAGGGTGGATTTAAGATGTATATACTCTATTTTCAACCGTATACACAGTATATACACATACTCAGTCTTATACAATTATCTATAACACCCCCTTTCCAACTAGAGACCGAAAAATTCACAACAAATTTCATTGATAAATAACGATCTTTTTTACGTTGAATATTGCTGTCTTCTGTTTCATACTTCTGTAGTGTGCATCATGTTCAATTATAAAATAAAAGGCTACACAAATGCAATTTTATGGTCAATGGTCACATAGAGACCCCCTTCTAGGATCTTCTAGTAGAAAGGGGGCCTAAGTGCGGAGAAGCTGTATTCATTCTGAATGCTTTTATACTATTTACACTCCTTGTTGCAACCTTGCTCCTTTTGGTTAGTCATCCATATCGCCAAGAACAGGTCAACACAATCTAACAAACACACGTTTTCCTTGTTTCTTTCCCCTTTAGTTTTACGAGTCCGTGTTGAAGAAAAACACTTTGACGACGGCGACCTGGTCTTCACCACTAAGAAGAAGGTGCGAGTGTTCCACGCGTCCGAGGCGTTGGGCGGCGGCCGCAGACGCCTGAACATCCCGGTAGCGGACATGGAGTTCCGAGTCATAGGAGGCGAAAAGTGCGCGTGTAGCGCCCTGGCCAGGAGAAAGCCCGGCCAGCTACTCCTCTCAGCTAGGAGGGACGGCTCCAAATTCTTCGTCACGTCAGTACGGAAGTGGCAGAAGGGCGACAAGGCGTTCAAAAAACTCCTGCGGTCCATGCGAGACATGAATTGCTGA